GAAGGAAGACGGCGGCCATAGCTGCGGAGCATTGACACAGAGTACCGGAGGAGAGAGAAAGGGAGGACAGAGAAGAGGGACTAAGGAGAGAGAGGAAGGAGTGTGGAAGGAGGAGATTGAAGAAGAAGACAGACATAGCCAGGGGTGAAMAAAAAAAAAAAAAAAAGAGAAAGAGAAGAAGGAAGAAAGTGAAGGAAGGGGAAGTAGACAGCGAGGGTGACGAAGGTGGAGGTGCCGACAGCCATAGCCGAGGTGAGGAGTTGACCGGGCGTCGACCAGACCGTTGACCAAAGGGTTGACCAAGGGTTGACCAGAGGGTTGACCAGGCGTTGACTACTGGGGTTGACCGCGTTGACTTGGCGTTGACCAAGGCGTTGACCGGAGCTGCTGACCAAGATTTTGACGAAGCTGGAGTTGGTGATGTCTCGTTGAGCCCTTAGCCTATCCCCTTACCCTGTGGATGTGCACTTACTTCACGGTACTTGCTGAGTCTGTCTGTCTACTCTTTCTGCATTGAGTCTCTTCTGTCCTAGGTGCTAGGACTCTGTGGATGAAGGATAGGGCCTTGCTGCCAAACTTGCACGGGCTTAGTAGGACCAAAGCTTTACTCTGGCATCTGGAGACCTGGGCATGAGCGGCRAGCGCTCGTTAAACAACTCGTCTAGCCCAATGACCGGTACTGACCGACAGGTCTACTGAGTTCAGTGTAAAGGGTCCGAACTCTGGGCTGTGGGCTGAAACGAGGGCCGTCTTTAAGTGTTGAGGCCTGGTTGAACCACTCCCCTACCGGACCCAGAAGGCTGATGATCCGTGTCTGACGACTCGACTGACCCGAGGGACACGAACCCCTCCAAGGACCGGTACAGACCGGCGGGCTGCTCGGTGTGGCACAGTAGGCCGGAACGGCTGAGTTGTGGGCTGAAATCGCCAGGAAGAACTACGCTGATCACGTCGTCCTGACTGCGACGTTAAAGAATTCTTGCGGAGTTTGGGGGATCTCCTTAAATGCCTCCTGATCAGCTGTTAGTTCAGTAGTGACAGCCTTRGAGYAGTTGTRAGYAGTGGATCCTAGAGAGTCAGTCAGTAGGTCAGTGTGTCCGGGTAGGTCTAAGTGGTGAGGAGTGGGACATTGTCGTGCACCTAACACCACGATGGACGACTATCCGATGTATGGGTTGCTTGTTGGGTTCTCCCTTTGGGGGAGCCTCTGGCGTCTCCTCTTTCCTCTGGGGTTCTGGCACGCGATGACGTGTAGAGTAGACACCCGGGGTGGTACTTCCACCAAGCCATATTTGAAGGAGGAGGAGGAGGAGAAGATGGCCGCCATTCTGAGGGAAAGAAAGGAGAAGAGAGAGGCCAAGAAGAAGGCCCTACATGAGGAGCAGGCGGCCAAGTTGAGAAAGATCGAGGAAGAGATGGCCAGAGAGAAGGAGAGAATCATGAAGGAAGAGGAGGCGAAGTTGAAAGAGGTGGATGAGGAAGAGGAGGAAGGACCGCCATTGCAAAGGAGGAGTGGACAGCACAGTAGCAGCAAGGACGAAGAGATGGAGAAACGGATTTCGGAGTGGGTCGCCAACTTATCCTTGGGTGAAGAGGAAGAGGTTGCTATGTACATCCCCAAGGATGAGCAAGAAGCCGCTATGAAAAAATGGGAAGCAGAAGAAGATGTTCTGACGCGGCGGGCGATGGAAGATGAACAGAGGATGGCGTGGAAGCTCGGAATGATGAGGGAGAAGAAGAGAAGAGTGGAGGCGGCGAATGCAGCAATAGAGGAATTGGAGGAGGTGCAGAAACTGAGGTTACAATTGACACCCCAGGTAGATCTTGAGCGGAAGGTGGAGATCATCGYCCAGAGCGTCGAGCGTTTAGCTAAGGTGCAAGAAAAGCACTATGAATTTAGTCGCAGCTAGGAGATATCTGTGCGCTCGATGCGAACGGGATTACGGGACTTTGCTCGCGAGTTAGTARGCGCTGTGGGGTCCGAGGTGAGTCACCGCCTCGAGAAGACTGAGCGTTTTTGTGTCGGCGCCATTGAGGGTGTCAAGGTGGCAGCTCCCAAGGAGGAGGAAACTCGTCCTCGCAGGGAGACAGTCAAAGTCAAATTCCCTGATTCCTACAGTGGAAAAAGGGAAGAGAACTTTGACAATGTCAGGACCTATGTGCATCTGCAACAAGTCCTATGTGCATCTGCAACAGGTCTCCCCGGATCAGCAGGTCCTAATTGCGATCCACGCACTTAAGGATGAGGCCGCCAGTTTCGCAAGGTCCCTTGTTCGTGCTGCCAACTGCAGTGACGATCCGGTTGCGTACTCCACATTCACCCCCCTCGTTGAGTTCTTGAAATTGCTGCGCGAGTGATTTGCTGATGTCGCTCGTAGTGTTAAAGCGTCAGATAGGCTGCAGACGATCCACGCCCGCAAGTGGAAGAGTCCCAGGGCACTCAAGAGTACAATGGATGAGTTAGTGGCTGTCCCTGACCATGGGGTTACGGACACCCAGTTGGTCGGCCTCTTCTATCGGGCCATACCCGAAGCCCTTCRAGGGCATTTCTTCGCAAAGAGCGAAGACCCTGCCACTACATATGATTCTCTTAGCCGTGAAGTGGTGGCTTTTGAAGCCAAGTCCGCGTCTGTGTCCACCTTCTGGCACAAAGACTTGGATAAGGGAAAGCAATGGAAGGGCCGCACTATTTCTGGGCAAGTGAAGACTAAGGATAGCCTTGTCCTGACCTTAGATGAGGGTAGTGTGGACAAGATCCCCTACGATCAGATTGAGTGGGGGTTAGAGGAGGAGGACAGTGGTGTGGGCTAGGGGAGGACTTATGCTGCTGTCACGGCTGGAGGGAGGCCGCAAGGAGGACGAGGCCAGGGCCAAGGGGGCCGGGCCTCAGGGAGCCGGTTCCAGGGCGATCAGGGGGTTGGCGGCAGAGGAGGAAACCGCCAAGCGGGAGGCAGGGGTCAAGGTCCCCCGCAAAACCGTCCTAGGAACAGGTCTCCCTATAGGGTAGGAGGATGGCACCCGGGGCTACCGCAGGGTAGGCCTTGGGAAACTTTGGGTCTGGACCAGACTTTATGGCAACAACGATTGGAACGGGGCCAGTGCATTTTCTGCGGTGACCCGGCCACATCATCAAATACTGTCCTAAGTATCGAGAGACCCGAACGGCTGCCCAAGGGCCAGAAGGAAAATGGTTGTGCGTAGTGACTTTCTCGGTTGGATTTGTTGCATGGATGCATGATGTGAGGATGTCTGTCTGACATGATGAAGGGCGTGTGAATGTTGTTGATTCTCGACAAGCATCGGCTCCAAACTCTTGTGTATGAGTGAGTGTATGCGATCTCAATATAATTTGTGATTTGAGTTTGTGTGTGTATGTTTCCCCGTTTGAATTTCTTATTAGGCCACATTTACTTACTCCCAACAGTTTTGGCATGAACGATTTTACTCATCCCTTCCCGTTCATGCCAGATCTTCCACACCATGTGCCAACTTTCCCTTACAACGGCTGCAGACACATGTATGCGAATGGGTGTACGAGAAGCTACGGTGCAGATTCATCGTCCGTATCTATCTCGTAGTGCATATGAGTGCTTTGGTTTTGTTGGGTCTCGTTTGGATTTGTAATTGTGGAAATTTGGTTTGCTCCCTTTTCTCTCTTTCTGTCCTATCACGAGCTTACAGTCACTCCTTGGCCTGCCAGTGCTCCCTGCTGGCCACAGACCCTGCTTGTCACACTGCATCGGTTGGGGCTCCGGCTGATGGAGGCGGCTTGTGGCACCTTGTGACGCACGAGTTTACTTGATTACATGGGTTACTGTGACCCTTTCAATTTTCTTGTCTTCAAAGGGGTTGTATACTGTGCTTTCGGCCTTGTCCTTTTGAATTCCGGTGTAATTCTGCAGGCTTCTTTGGTGGGGTATCCGTGGGTTGCTCTGCGCCGGATAATCTTTGAGTTCATATTCTTTTTGTGCAATTTTGGAAACGTCCTTGTATTTCGTGTGAATTTTCATTTTTGAGTAGAGAAAGAGGGGAATCGATGTAGAATTTTTACTCGCCTTACTGAGCGAGCTTGGAATTTATTTTCGGACTTTTTAATTTCAAATTAGTTGTAAGGAATTAGGTGCAGCGTTCACTGGCATTTTGCGTAACCCTTTTGGCGCCTTTACGTTTTCCGCAAAGGGCATTTCGCACCCACGCCCTTGCATGCAATCTTTTCCCGTGCTCTTCTACCTCCCTTCGTGCCTCTTGTGGCAAAACGTAACTATCTTCTTCTCCCTCCCTTCGCGCCTTCCCTTCCTTCTTGATCTCGTAGAATGTCCCACCCTCTCTTTTTTTTTTTTTTTTGATAACCGGTTGGCGCCTACTAGAGGAGGTGATACGAGTAAGACTGCTGCCAGCTGCTCCATCTATTGGTGAATTTGGTGGGGAGCTTCACCTGCTGGAAACCGGGTACAGCGTCCCATTGCACATTTGTACACTTGAACACATTGTGCCATTGAGCATGGAGATATCGTCAGCACCTCCTCACCCCGTCCTAGGGTGCCAGCTCCACAGCGGCTACCCTGGTGCTGTACCTTATGATTTCTGTCCCTCCCAAACCCTAAACCCTAGCCCCTTACTGTAGCCCCTGAGCACACCTATTTCCACCCAGTCCCCACCATTCCACTGACACCTTGGCGGGGGGGGGTGGTTAGGACAGCAGGGAGGGGAATGGGTTAATTTTTTTGTGCGGGACGTAGGAAGGGCTTTGGGGGGGTGGAGGGGGGGACCTCCCTCACTCAGCCTCCTGCACTGTAACCAGGGATAAGGGGACGGGAGGAAGAGGTCCAGGAAGTCTTCGGGGGGGGGCGCACTAGAATGGAGGCATCAGTCTTTGTCCAGTCATGGAAAAGGAGGCGGTTAGTCCTGCACTAGTTCCGCCTGGTCCTCTCCCTGTCCCCCTTGCCAAACATCTCGGTGATCCAACCTCCATGCGTCCTGCCCAGCCAGTCCATGATGAATTGGTTGATGTTGTTTGCCTTCTTTGAGTGCAGATGTGGCATTTTCTGGATTAGTATGTCTGTTTGAATTTGCTGTTTAATTGAGTCAGTGAAGAGCAGCCCTTCCAGGCACATGCCATCCATTTCAAAGGTGCAGCCGTGCCACCAGAGGGCCCACATTACGACCCTTCGGCCAATTCTGAACATATTGCTGGTGAAAATGCTAGCCTGCTCAGGTTGCCAAGCCTCACTCAGGAGTGCTTGCCAGCTCCAGGGCCATTGGTGGGTCCCACATTACACCATCTCTTGTAACCCCTTTTCCTGCCTTCGTCTACACTTGGCAGGATCTTGCCAATCCCAAGTGACCATAGAAATTGGACCACAGCGTGTAGAGTGGCTCTGAGCCGATTTGATTGGCTATGAGCACTTTTGCAGGATCGGTGTGGCCATTTCGACGTCGCTCTCCGTCTCCCTTTTGCTTTTTCCCCCCACCCTCTACCTCTTGTACGCATCCCTTCTCTGCTTCCTTCGCAACTATAAATCTCGCAAGTGCATCTTCTTCACTCTCTCTCATGTTATCTGCTAACTCAGTTGAAATAGCGGCTAGATAGTGGAGATGATCAGCAAGGCTAAAAGTCCCAATGGGTCTGCTGCGGCTTTGCGTGATCGTGCACCAGATAGCTGCGAAGGAATGCAGGACTTGGGCGGATCAGCGCAGGAGTTGAGTTGACGGGGTGACGATTGCTGGTAGGTGCGCCGAGTACGTGGCGGCAAGGATTGTTAGTGCGTGGGCACAGGGTAAGAGATGGCTGGCCGGTGCCCCATGAGCATGAGAGCGGGATGCTCTGCTTCTTGAGCCTTCCTCTTCTTCTTCTTCCTCTCTTTCAATCTATTTTGCATGAGAGTTGCATGGTGAGGCATGTCTTCATTTCCATCTTGATTGTTTTTTCTATTTATGAGTCGCACGGGCTTTGGTCTGTGTGAATGTTTGTCTGAATACGAGTCGTTGAATGGTTGCGAACGTGTTCCCTTCTCCCTCCCCTTATGGAATGGATGTGGATGTTTCCTGTCAGACTCTTCCACTTGCAAGAGGAATGGGCATGGCGCTCGGCACTCGCCTTTTGAAAGTGCATGAGTACTTGGGTTTGCTCAATCTCCTACACGGGATGAATGTTATCCTCTTTTGATTACTCCCTTTTGGTCACTTTGTCCCTGTATGGAGTGAAATGCTCTTCTTCTTTCTGTCTTCAAAAGAATGCATGTGTCTTCCTAAGGATTGATCCCTCCCCTCGCTAACGTGTATAGGATGAGTGAAGCACTCGTTACACTCTTCCGCTTGCATGAGTGTGTATAGCTAATGCTCGTCACCGATCCCTCTCCAGTTTTAGTACGATCGTGGCTTTCAGGCTCGGAAGATGACTTGGTACAACACTCCTGCTACACTCTTACGCTTGCACAAAGAGTGGTGTCGGCCAAGTGATGTACACATTCGACATATCTGCACGAGAAGGAAGATATCGGTTTGGTTTGTAAACGGTGGATGCGTGTGATGGGTCGTGTCTTCTAATGATGCTGTCTGGCAGGTCCCGTCTGCTTTGCAACTGCGTGGCCATGTCCAGAGTCCCCGTATAACGAGGACAGGACACGTGTACGCAAGTGGGCTGTGCGCAAACCTGTAGCGCAGATCGGGTGGCCCTACTAGTTCCATTCTGAGACGCAGTGTTCAGGTTTTGTTAACTCCGGGTTCATGATTGTCAACACTATCTTCCCTCCCTTCTCTGTCCTACTGCCTTTTAACGAGCTGATTGTCAAACGTTGGCCGACTGTCTCTCCTCTCTGACCTAGTACTTTGTGCTCTGACTGCTGACACATGGACGACTAAGGGAAAGAGGGTTCAACTACGAGCCTTGTGGAGACTCAGAAGTTGTGGAAAGAGCCGAGTGTCTGCGCCCCTCTGATTCCGACTGTGAGCTCTGCAAGCCACGTCGTCGGGCACTTGTCCACAGCTGAGATCCTTCGTACACTCCCGCACCGTTCCGCCCGGGCCAAAGACGCCGGAGAGCACGGGGGAGCATTCAGAGGCACTTTTTGAACTAGAGGAACGTCGCGCGTCTGCCATTTCGCCTTCGTCTTAACCACAACCGGAACTGCACGGGAGATTCTAGTTCCAACCTGGAACTCCAGACTCACTTTTCCTAAAATTGTTGGCACACCCCAGTTGCATGCTTTCCGGGCCCTTTCCGCATTTTATTCCACTCCATGAAGGAAAGCAGCGTAGGGCGTGAGGTTGGTACATCACAGGCTTGTGAGTGCTGAAAAGTGGCTTCACTGATAGTTGGGGGTGGTGTCTTAGACCTTTAAAAGAAGCACATCTTAAACACGGATAACGAGACAAAATGACTGGCGGTGCCAGGCATGTCTCTTAAATTTTGTGCTCGTGCCAATTCCGCACTTGGCATGCGGTGGAAGTTGGCATCAAGAAAAAGAGGCATGGAAGTACTGGTGGTTTAAATTGTACGTATGGGGCTGAGGATCTTGCATTGCCCAGCAAAGACACGTGGGTGGGAGCTTAGCGTACAAATAGAGGGTAAGGCACCTCTGGTGTTATGTTTGTGATTGAAAAGCATGCACCTGGTGGTGAACAGATTCTTGCCTTCATGCCATGAACATATCATCGGTGGAGTCGGGCACAGAAATGATAAGTCTACAGTGGTACTCTGGGTGCTCAAAGTGGATTGCCACCAGACGTAGGGCTACTGCCACTCTGTAGCCCACCTTCTTCCCCAAACCTGCACCATAATCATGGTTGCATTTGGACTGGAACAGGTCTGTATTCATTCACGATAACGGGATGTTATAATCAGGGGGAGGAGTAGCTATCGTTGTCCTATAAGCAACATAGTATGAGGAAGAAGCCCCTGCTTTTTTTGGGCCTGTCGGAAGTGAGGTTATTGTGGGCCCCAAAATATGGGCCAGGTTAGGCCAGAATGGCCCTACCTTTTGTAAGCAAGAAGTTGTGTGGAGTTGAGCTGTGGTAAGGTGCATTAAAAAAAAAAAAAAAAAATCACTAAACCACCACTCCCTCCGAGCCTCTTTTTGCCGACCCTGAATTTACCTGCGCGCCGATTTCTGCCGAGCCTGGTGTGGGGGTGGAACCGTTTCAATTTTTTCTTTGGTACTCGGACAACAAAAGAAGAAGAAGAAAAGGAACAGGGCCTACAAATAAAAGGGGTACCCCAACACACACACAGAGCTACAAGGACAAATAAAAGGGGTACCCCAGCACACACGCAGAGCTGCAAGAACAAATAAAAGGGGTACACCAAAGAAAGCCAAAGCAACAATAGTCAAGAAAGGGATATAAAATCATAGAATGGATTTATGTGTTTGATGTTGCTTGCTATAGAGGTCAAACTGTCTCATTGTTGGATTGACTCATCTACAGTATGCTTCATTGTCTGCAATAGAGGTAAAGCTGCTTCGATTTTGGATCTACTCATCTGGGTGGAACAGGGGTTGTTGTGGTGAAAATCTATAACACAAGCAAACCGGGAAACCGCACACATACACTGACAGAAGCACACATCAGGGTTGAGTTTTGATGAGATCTGGGTTCAACACATGGGCAGTGGTTTGTGAGTGTCCAGATTTGTGTGTGTGTGTGTGTGTGTGTGTGTGTTAGAGAGAGAGAGTGTGTGTGTGTGAGAGAGAGAGAGAGAGAGAGAGAGAGAGAGAGAGAGAGAGAGAGAGAGAGAGAGAGAGGGAGCACAGAAAGAGGTAGAGGATCAGGGGAATATGTGGAAAGGAAGGCAGTGGAGAACATCTCCGTTGGACCCACTCAAGATCAGTTGCGACCCTCTAGAAGAGTCCAGCCTGCAAACTTGCCCACTATCAACACAGTGCCCCAAAATGACAACCTGCACGAAGAGCCCTCCGGGTCACCCAGTTGGCTTTGCTGTCTGATTTCCAGTTAGGTCGGGGCCAAACTCACCGACATTGCAGATAGGTCTAGGGAGGAAGGGGGTGGGCAGGGTTGCGGAAGCCAGAGATCCAGCCCACAATCGTGAGTTTGTTAACAGTCTGTTGCAGATCGTTGTCCCCACTGTTACTATGGAAGTTCTCAAGACGAGCACAGGATGCTGCTCCCCTTTGATGAAGAATTACTACACCTTGATTACCTTGGATTTTGTCAGTAAATTTCTGTTCCCTTTCGATAACCACTGTCTTGCAGGGCCTGGCATGATCTGCACTTTTTTTCATTATTTTTCCCGCTTCACTTCACTGCTCCAGGTGAGTCTGATAAGGGAGGCTGCAGGAGTCTTGGCGAGGATGGTTCATGGCATCAGACTGCTCAGGCTGGCGAAGCTACAAGCCATGACACGAGTCTTGGGTGCTTTGCGGACGATAGACGAGGACGACAAGCAGTCCTCAATCGTTGCACAGAAGAAAATTGAAGAGTACGATGTTCTCCGTTCACAGGTAAGAGGAGGTGGAGGAGGAGGAGGGAGCCTGCCTCAGTCCATCTATGAGGTTGGCTCCTAGAGTTTTAACTTGTTTGGAAATCCCTTCCGTGTCACTCAAATGTGTAATTGTGCAAATGCTCTCCCACAATTCTGTTTTCCTTTCTCTCCACGTTTTATAAAGCAGATATGATGCATATTTAATATTTATCCATATGGGAGGTAGTGAACGCCCTCAGTGAAAGACTGTGGCATTCATCTTAAAACACTAGTGCCAAAAGCCTTCCTGTCGGGATCTAACGAGTACATATTGGACCAGCCCCAAGAAGGCTGCTTCATCAAAAGCTCTTCTTTGTGCACGGCCACAAGTCCGGTGATGCTTGTGTCGTAAACAACCACTAACTTTCACAGTGTAGTCCCAAGTGGGAATATATTATTCATGTAACCTATACACCGCAGTCGTTGGGGACCGGGCTACCGTTGGGCCGCCTTTGATGAATTTCTTTGGTGGCCTTTGTTGCGTTACCAGCCTCCAAAACTTGTGGGGCCTCGCCTGCGGCCAGTGTATGGGAAAGGTAGTGGTGGTTTAAGAGAAGGTCCTGATGAGACTTGTTGTGAAGGATCCAAGGGTTTGCGTAGCCAGCTTCCATTTCAACTAAACTTTAGACCGGCAATACCCTTGCCAGCCTTCATGGTGCTGTGGAGAGGTTTTGAAAGGCTGGTGGCGCCAGGTAACGCTTGACATGATGGTTTGGAAATTTTAGGGCCGGCCAACAAAGAGCATTAGAAACAAGAGGCTCAAAGGTACTGGTGGCTTAAGGGCATATTTTCACACTAGGACTTTTCCAGGATGTACATGACTGGAGTTACGGCCAGGTTTGTTCATTTACGACGGTGTTAGCCACAGGCGTGGCCTAGATATCTCGGCCGTGGTCCAGCCACGGGCGTGGCCTAGACATCTTGACCTTGGCTCAGCCACGGGCGTGGCCTAGATATCTTGGCCGTGGCCCAGCCACGGGTGGGGGTTGGGGGGGGTGGGGGAAGGGGGGAAAGATAAGCAACAACGACTGGCCGCCTGACACGGGTGCGGGAAAAAAA